GATAGGCTGATGAAGAGATAGACATAAGATGTTTTGGGTATAGCATTTCTGGTTCCACACATTACCACAAGTCCAAATCTCCAGTTAATAAAATTGCACAAACATCAAATTACAAAATCAAGGTTCCCAAGACCTTTCCTAATCTCTAAAATCATCATTAATATACATAACCTTTCAAGTTTCAAGGTCCAGTCTCACCACTCCGTCTACAAATAAAATACATCAGTCCTGCACTGACAGGAGCTAAATTACAAGTAAAAGGGTCCAACGGACAGTTTTGATTCCTAAAAAACCATCCGTCCCCCTGCCAGTGGTCAGCAGTAGTTATGGGCTTTTCAGATTATGCCAAAAGCTACATCATTACCTTAAAATTCAACATAAAAGAATACCTTAATTAAACTAGTTTCTTAATCAGCCAGCAGCAACCGCATCAGCCCTGGGACTCGTATCCAGGAGTTGATGCAACTTGTTACCTGAGTTGGAGTTCTTATCATACATCTCACCCTCTTCATTGATGTTTTCATCAACAGAGCCTGAATTGGAAACCCTAGAGAGCAGATTCTCTGTGCTAACAGGTGGAGCCCTTGTCTGATCATCGACATTCTTCAAAATGATGTCTTTTGTGTGTCCTAATTGAGCATTTTTCAGTTTCTCCTGTATATTAAACTGCTTCATAAGTCATTGGAGGAAGTATGGGCATTCAAGAGAACAGATAATTTAACTCCCATCAGAAATATGAATATCAATTGGAGAAGGAACAAAAACAGAAAGCCACTAAAGCTGTAAAGAAGAAGCCACAAGAACCCACCGCTAACGTAGTATTTTCTAGTCTAAGTTTCTCTGATTTCTCTGTCATTTGATTTATTTCAGATATGAGTGCCCTGTTCTCAGTATTCAGGGATTCAACCTTGCGTGCAAGTTCTTCAGTCTCAGCCTACACAGAAGGAATATAAAGTATTATCTTTAGACAATCAATTATGAATTAACAGAAAGGATCAAACAAAGAAAAGCAGGATTTAAGCATAGGAGGAACAACCATTTGACATGGTTCTTATACCTGTTTCCTCAACCTTGATCTTCTAGCCGATTCTCGATTAGACTGTTTCCTCCTCTCCCGCTTCATTTCCCGTTCATTCTAAAGTAAATATCAATAAAATTAGCAACTATCTTCCTGCCCATTTTGACATCGCAAAAAGCTCTTTTATAATTCCAAACTATACCTGCATCCAAACTTCAGGAGGCAAAATAGAACAAGGTTGAGGAACACTGGTAGGACTGGGGGGGTTCCTAAGCTCCAATGCGGTGGTCATTCCGGGAGAAACTCCAGGTGCAATGGACTTAACAGGAGAGGCGGTTGCATTCATCACCTTATCTGAAGCTGCAGTTGCCTCACCAGGAGGAATTGGTTTGGGCTTTCCCTCCTTTTTTCCATTGCCTGCTCAGCAAAGAGATAAGGCAAATATAAGCTTCTAATTACAGTTGAGTTGCACTAATTGCAGTTTTGAAACCATCAGTATCCTATTATCTAAAATAAACAAGGATTTCGACATCTCTCAGATTTGACGACCATAATCCAGTCCATTTGTGGACAGATTGCAATACTAAAGCAATAGGCAGATATTGTGAGATCACTGACATTGACAGCAGTACAGAACACGAATGTTTTGAGAGAGAGAAAAAAAAAAACAAAAAACCTATTACTTCAAGCTGGAAAATTGTAAGAAGAGGTCAACTCTATTATTCATCAAGATATACTTGGTGAAGAATGGAGTCATACCGATGGTTGGTGTTCCCTCCCGGCTTCTTTTCCTTCTCGTTTGATCAGTCTGAGAGAAGATGTGTGATGGTGAAAATTCAGATTTAGCAATTTTGTTCTCATTGTCTAATATGTCATCCAAAATAAACAGTTTAAAACTAAAGATAACGGAAACAAGGATCTTTTTTTTAAAAAAAATTATTAAAAAAAGGAAAAAATAAGCAAACAGTGCTTACCCCAGTTGTATTCCCATCACTTCCATCACTTGAGCCTTCAGTCTCCCCACTGTCACACATGATAATGGGAATTTGAATATTAGCCCAATTACAAGAGATAAACTAGGGGCAATCCACCTAAGCAACTGGCCAAATACTACATGGAGGTTGCTTTGGCAGTGTTTCAATGTCCTAAATAATGCAAGTTTGTCCTCGAAAGAAAATAGAAGGGATCTAAAAATAATCTTTTAAACCAAAAGAAAATCACTAAAAAAAGTTAAAAATTCACACAAACCTCTGTGATAGTCTGTGTTCAGTCCCACCTGCAGCATTCTCAGTGGTACCATTGCCTATGGACATTGCAAGACCATCAAACCCTTTCAACTTCTTCATTAAACCTCGATCTGTATTCCCTGACTTTGAAGGTGTTTCTACACCTAAAGGTGTTGCAGCCTGCATTATCATATTAAATTTACTATTACGTGCTACATGAATGAAAGAATGATAATTTACATATTGCCAATGATGCCTTTTTTAAACAAGTCATCAAAACAACCAATTAGCGCTAAGTTATTTGAAAAGAAATCACCAGCCAAAGGCTTCACTTACTGCAGGTGATGATGGAACACTATGACCATGAGGGTGTGATCCCTAAATTTTAGGAGAAAACAAGGATCAAAATAAAGTGTAAGAACAATTTGGTATAATTATAGATTCAAGTTTAATTTATAATGTACTGAATTCTCACTTGTAGCTAAGACACAAAAAATAAAATAAAATAAAATAAAATGCTATGCATTTGAAGGCTGAAGATTATGTTGTGTGGAGAAAATGTAGAAGCATGCATTGCCTGGGTGCATCTGTGTGGTGGGTGAAGTCAGTCTAGTTACCAGACCACACACAGAACAAACACAAACAACAAAGAAGCACCAATAAACATCCCGCAAACCTAACTTTCAGAAAGTTCAGAGTCAAATATCTTGAGCTTCAAAAACAAAAAAGACATGATTTCTGAGTGCTCTAACCATTAGAAAGTTGAGATGTATAATTACCAGAGGTACCGCTGGATGTGCATAAACTCCACCATGTGAGTAGATTGCAGCATAAGGAGCCCCATAAGGTGGCATCATAGGCTGAAAGTATTTCCAAGTTATCATCAACATGATATTTACTAAATCATCTCAAAATTGGGAATAAAAAGAGAGAGATGGCTTTAAACTTGAAGCAATACCTGTGGACCCCACATATAGGGGGGAGGAGTATGACCAGATGCCACTGGTGAATTGTAATATGGTGGCATGGTCATCCGAGGACCATAATATGCCTAAGTATTTACAAGGTAAAATATAAATCACTTTTAGAAAGTTCATAAGGGATTAGATAAAGATTTCTAATTAAACAAATGTATCTCAATGACAGATGAAAGGGAAACATTATAATAGTTAACCTGCATTGCTGCCCAATCAGGATAAACATGAACATTTGTCTGATCCTGAAAATGGAAATACAGAAAAGGATTGACTAATATTTAGACATGAAAATACAAACGCAATAATGAAGTATTCATCTAAAACAGCCACAATAACGTAAAGGGCCAATTTTTCTTACAGGTGGTGCAGGCGAGGACGATTTTTCAGACTTAGAGGACTTCCCTTCTTCACTGTTTCCCATAGCTCAGCTGCAATCCAGGACACTTTTAATTGGTACAACATGTGCAAAGCAGATAAGGAACAACTGAAAAGGTAATTGGAATCAAAACCAACCATGTAATTTTTTATCAGAGAAAGGTAACAAATTTCTAGCTACCATGATGCATGGAGTTTTCATCTCAGCCAACTATGGCCCAATATTCACACCAGCAACCTCTCAAGTCTCAACTCAATAACAAACATATTTTAAGCATCAAGCTAAAATATATATTTTTTCTTTCAATTCAGCCCCAAAAGAAACCGGAGATGAGGGTAAGAGCGTCTTTTTAAGCATCCAAGCTGGTAGCACAAAGGTAAAAGACGATCTGAAAACCTACATCGCCGGGATAATCTGAGACCTAATTGACGAAAATACCCACGAAACTGCAAGTGAAGCCGCTTGCAGTTTCCCTTACATGATAAGTTTTCCAGGTTCTTTAAGGTAAATCTAAAAAGATTTCATCTGAAAAGGGAACACTCTGTTTGGCACGCCGTCGATTTTCATCCTGTAAGCAGGTTTGAAGGAGGAGCTAAAGCTAAACACCGGGGAAGATATCTACATCTAAAGAGGCATATGAGATTCTGTAAACGAAGAAAACTAGACGAGACCAGTGTTTTGTAGTAGTAATCGACCGTAAGTTACGAGATCCGTGTAAATTTCGAGTCTAATCCTTTGTTTGTTTCCCGAGAAACAAACGGAAAATTGCTCGGAAGATCAAAAGCGTGACAAAATCGTAACTCCTTACGATTTCTGTTACATTTTAAAAAGTTTGCCGGGTTAGAAACGGTAACTCTACCGGTTTTCTAAGCAATCAAAAACTCGATCGCTGTAAGTTGCAGTTTCCATTCACTCTCCTACATTTCGTCACCTACCAGAAAACGTTAAAAAAACCTGAAATTCCATAACCAAACGCCTAATTCAGCATGAGGACAAAACTTTCTTGCACTTTCCTCGGTTTTCTCGGCAGCCAAACACATTCTTATAGACATTAAAAACTTGAGAAACAAATTCACTAATCCAATACACAAAAGTAAAAGAAAAAAAAAAAGAAGAAGCTAGATTTTCCAAATTGAACGTACCTTTTCAAATCCCAAATCCACCCGAACCTTTCGTTCCCTGGAGATGAATAATTCAGAACAAAATCTAGAAAACAGAAAACATATAGCAAGAAATCCCGAAAACTATCTCAGAAACCACAGCATTTTTTCTCTCTCTCTAAAACCAGAGGGAAAAACTGGAGAGTTTAGCTTTTTGCAGAGAGGGGGATGAGAGGGGGAAGGTGGTGGTGAAGAAGAAGGAGAAGAAGAAGAAAGAGGAGCGCCAAGGCAACATCCACGTCACTAACCACGTGTCGTAGAAAAAATTAAGTGTAGATTATACGGCGTATATACGGTGGTAAAATGGGATCGTTGGGCAATCACCAGTTGTTGGTTTGAGTGGAAGAAATTCGATTACTTTCGATAAAATCTCTAGTTTCAGTCTTATAAATAGAGATATAAACGTTAAGAGAACTTTTTTCTAATAAGAATCGATACGATTTAATTTTAAATTAATTAAGATACAATGTGATTATAAAATATTGAGAGAGCTTGATAAAAAAAATAAGGTTGTTGAGCTGGCCCGTTGATATTCGCGCTGGCCATTAGTTTATTCCAGCGTCACCTGGGCCGTACACGTGGTGGGAAGTGAGTCGAACTACGCGTCTTGGGGGGTACGGGTTCCAAACTATTCCACCCGTCATGTGGGCTTACGTGGTCTTCTTCCCTGGATTTAAAATTTTGAATATAATTTGGAATTTTATTTTATTTTATTTTAAATCGAGTTTGAGATTTAACTAGAATGAATATGTCCTTTGGAATCCACGACTGGCCAGTTATTGACGGTCTTAATGGGGTCTCCAGTCCACGCTTTTGCCACGTAAGGATTCATTGTTGAGATTTTTATTCTTTTTTATTATTATATTTTTGTTTGTCTGCTTGAGTAGAATTCAGCCTTTTTCTCTCTCTCTTTTTTTTTTTTTTATTTGTGGAACTTTTTCTCTCTATTTTAATGCTATAATTCTATTTTTTTGAATTGATTTTATTTTTTAATATTTATTTAATCTATGTTTTAAATATATATTAATT